GCCTATTTAACACCGGTTGAACAGGTTGTTCTTTAAGTTGACCAGTAGTACAAAGATTATAATTTAACCAAACAGAAATAGCCCCAATTCTTCCCTTAAAGGGGAAATATGAACTCAATACGGATCAGTAAGTAGTCCGCTTTTCCCTCAACTCTCTTCCTTCATTCCATTTAATCCTATTTCAGCAGGTGTACTTGATCAAAACTGATAAAGGCCACTAACCCAATCACCGATACTGTAACCTGGAGCCACGGCTTTACATAACGTATCTGTCCGTATCTCACCTTAGGTTTGACCGTTGAACTTCTATCTCATGACTTCCGATTGACCGCACCTCAATTCATAGGCTAACAAAAACGATGAAATATATCTGTCCCGTTAAAGCGAATGTCTCAGTCGGAGACTTTGTAGATGAGCCTCTAAAACCCGTGGCATACACTTCAGGTTTGGTTTCAAGTCAATTCTTTTTAACAGTATTAACTCGCACGGCTTAATTGCACTCTGAGTAACGCGCTAACACCCACACCCGGTGTTTGTGTGCCTGTAAAAAGGTTATCAGTGTTGCATCGTTAAAAGAACAGCTGTGCCGTAAGATGCATTCTGTGACTTCACATCTACGTGCTCCCCCAGTTCTCATCCAGTTGCTCAGGGAGATGAGCTGGGATTTTGTTCTGTGTGTTTCGCCCTGATTATTAGTCAAGCTCAAGTTTCTTTTCCAAATAAGCCAACTGCTTTAGGTACATGGCTCGTAACATTCTTCCTCGTGACGCGTGCGCATTCAGTTAGATTATTTCCTTCCTTAACTTGCTAGTAATATTGGTGTACTCATTAAGATTTATAATCCTGTTTGCTCCAAAGATGGAGCAAAAGACTACCAGATATCATTTCAGGCTGACACTTTGAACTCCTGGCCAGAGCTTTACCACCAATGCTTAGCCCAAAGGTTTAAATTTCAGGGAGCTGAGTGGCTCAATCGTCATCAAGCCGTCAGCTGTGAACCAATTGGTTCAAGCTCCAGTCTTGCCTACGGCTATCTCTACCCGATGAATCCAGAAACAGGTGAAACCGTTTGTAGTATTCAGAGAGACCAAAACTGAATCTCTCCGCTTATGATTATAAAGAGTTTCACTCATTAAACGAAGTGTGATAGAAAAAGCCAAAAACTTACTGAATGGCTGAATTCTGGCCTTTAACAAGACCTTTGTTGCGCGTGAACACTGTAGCCAACCCGACGTTCAGTTTTGGTGGCCGATACAGTCGAGGGATTTAGGATAAGCAAACATTCGCAAGGTTAGTTCCAGATATTCAGTCACACTACCCTTTCTTCTACTTTCGATTTTTTATATAGAAGTGATCGGGTGAGATGTTAGCTACTAAGTCACCAGTCTGTGCTTGTGACTTTAGTTACCCTCTTTCTTGCTTTACTACGGCTACCTCTTGCGACAGGATGAGTTGGCTTCATGAATGTCACTGATTGCAGCTGCCCAAGCGTGCCGGTCGGCTGCAAGCTCCACGCAGACGCTGATCCATTAATTCTTCCAGTGACCAGCATCATGCACAGCATGGAGTCCCAGAAGATCAACATCCGATTTCACTGCAGGAGCCACGTTTTCAATTGTCCACCACGGCGACGACACCGACCCTGGCAAGGGTGAAACCTCGGCTCTAGTGAAGTCAGTGTCTGGTCTGCGGAGGAGGTGACCGAACCACTGAAGTCTGCGGCGTTGAATGAGCTTTGTGAACTTCGGAAAACCGTAACAGCATTTACGAATTTCCTCATTGGCGATAGCCTCATGCCACTGCGTTTTTAAGATAAGCCTTGGACACCAATGCTCAAAGACTTCCAGCTTCCGCGTTTCCTCGGAAAGCAGCAGCCATGTTTCGCAACCATAGAGTAAAGTGGCACGAATGGTTGCTGAGACTACTCGGATCTTCGTTCTCAGACTAATTTCCGTCCTTCGCCATAATGTGTTTCTCAGTTGTAATTAGGCTGCTCTAGCGCTGTCAATAAGGTTCCAGGTTTGGGATGTAGCCTGACTATTGGGGAATATAGTGGATGCAAGCTAGTTGAACTCAGGGACAGATTCCGGGAGTTGTCCACGTAAGGAGAGCGACGGGACGGACTGGATGGCTAACGATGGGAAGTATTTCGTCTTGCAGATGTTAATTTCTAGGTCGACCATAGGGGCTGATTTGTCGATCCTATTCAGCAGTGGTTGTGTTGATATAGCATTTTCTGAAAGAATATCGACAGCGTTAGAAAATGCTAGATCTGACAGCCAGAAGTCAAGGCTAACTTGAACACCACCATAGCCCTCAAGTACATGATGTATAACCCAGTAGACTAGAAAGTTGAACATCCCTGGAGAAAGTGGGCAACCCTGCCGGACTCTAGTACTGATGTCGAATTCCTTTGTTTCTTCTCTATAGACCCGAATGCGGGCCTTTGTGCAAAGGTAGTAGGATCTCATCCAGTTAAAGAGTTTAACCTACACCCTATCAGCCAGTAGGATTCCCCAGAGTGCTTCACTGTCAACGGAGTCAAAGGCAGCTCAAAAATCAAAGAGGCACACAAACATGGACTGTAGGAACTGGTAGCGGTGTTCGTACACTCGATGTACAGCGAAGATTTGGTCAGTTCAGCCTCTGCCTGGACGAAAGTCACCTTGGTTATGGAGAGTTCGCAGGTTCCTCTCATTCGCAAAGCGGAAAAGTAAGATGCGGGTGGAGATATTGGCAACCACATCGGTTAGGCTAATCCCGAGATAACTACTGCATACAGTTCCGTCACCTTTCTTGGGGAATGGCAGCAGTACTGAAGTATTCCATGAGGAAGGACAGATTTTAGCATCCCGTCTCGAGCAGAAGAACTCGTGCAGATGGTCAGGCTGAGCTGGTAGACAAGATCTGTATATTCCCGCTGGAATCCCGTCTGCTTCCGGGAATTTCTTCGGCTTCAGGCGGTGAACGATGTCTGCAATTTCTGTGGGAGATGGCGGTGGACAACCTGCAGCTTATTCTGGCTGGGTTAATGCTGAAATGGGTGCGGTGGTATGTAGTGGACGGCTTAGTAGGTTGCTAAAACACCCTTCCAATTTGGAAACTGTTCCTTCCGTATCGAGGATGATATGGCCTTCCGAATTGCGCAATATTGGCTGAGGCGAAGAGCGCTTGATGGAAGCTAAACGGACGTGACGAACGAGAAGATCCAAATTGCCAGAATTTGACGCAGCTTCCATGTTGCCTGCTCTGTCAGACCAGTAGCGGTTGTGATCATTTGGTGCAGAGCGGCTTGCCTCTCGACTCATTTGACGGTAGTCTGGGGAAATCGTGAGACCTGTTTCTCTCGCTTTAGCGGACAAGCGGATAGCATCTTCAATGATTCAGTCTTTCACAGGCTTATAGGTAGAGCCCAGGGTAGATAAAGTGGCACGTTGCACTGACGATTTTATTCTAGACCAACGAGCGTCGACAGATTCATCTTCTTAAAGTAGGAGGCTTGGTGCACTGGCAGAAAATGCTTCTTGTATTACTGCCTCAATGGATCGGCAGCAGTCAGTATTTTCCAGTGTGGCAGTCTTGATACGCTTTGATGGGTCTATCGGCGCGTTGTCAAGCGGAGTCTGAATTTTGCACGCAGGAGTACGTGGTCCGAAGCATCTTTATTGCCTGTTTCAGCTCCTTTGTACGCTCGACAGTCATCGATGGAGGACATCCACCTGGATCGAATTATGGTGTAATCTATCTGGCTCGCTGTACGATCCTCGTTGGAGTACAAAGTCAGAAGATACTTCCTGGGATGCTGGACGCGAGTATTGGTTACGCGAAACCGGTTAAGGTCAACGAAACTGAGTAAGCGGTCTCCATTATCACAGCGCTCTCCAAGAGCCTATCTTCTTAGTCCGTGACGGGTTTGCTCGTTCCTAAGACCTGTTCGTGCATTCCAGTTCCCAGCAATGAAGTCGCCTTTTGGAACAAGGTTCGCCACTGTCTGTCGAATCTCGTAAAATTCGTCTTTGTCACTGTCCGCTGAGGGTAGGGTTGGTGCGTAGACAGAGATTATGGTCAGATTCATCGGGTGACCTTTGAAGCTTGCAACTGCTATTCTAGCTGATACTGGCTTTCATGAAAGGAGAGCTTAGTGAGCCTAGCAACTGAGAGCCGTGGCGACCCCATGATTGTCAGAAGTATCTTGCAGCCCACTGTGGTAAAGTCAATATGAGGTGTCTACACCAAGGACTTTGATTTGTCGAGAGCCCTAGCTGGGTATTCGAGATTCTGACAGGCATGCTATGTCGATCTGGTGGTCATGTAGTGTGCGCATCGTCAACGCTTGGCTGCCGACATCCAACAGGCTTCTGACATTCCAGCATCCAATGAATGGTGGCTTTCGGGGATTGAGGGACCCAGCTAGCTTGCTTGTCACTCTGGCCACTGGGTTAATGCAGAGCGCGTAGCCTGCCGGGAACGCCGTAGCATGAGAAGAATCGCGGCTAACGGACATGTGACGTTAATTAGTCATTGTTGTTGTTTTAGACATGCTGATTATTACGAGCTGACCACACAACTGGTAATATTTGCCGGAAATGAAATCCTAGATTGCAGTGGTGAATAGCACAGTTCTCTAGGACAGATGTCCTGTCATTTTAAGTATGCAAAGTGAAGCGCGGTGACAGTTATGGTATGCGTTGCTCTGCTTACATAGAGTTTCATGCATTTGGTTCCTAACGGATTGAATCATGTATGTCTCTTGCTGATGTAAAGTGAACTCTTGAATCCACCTACGGTAATGCATGCACATTCAATAATTAATAGAGATTAGCTCCTATTAATAGTCCTGCATACCTAGTGCAACTGGGTCTGTCATTGAATACTTCCAGCGAAATTTCATCCCTTTGTATACTTAGAAGCCACCTAGTGCTCAGAATCATAGTACTGTATTCAAAAAGAGGTCAAAAATGGTAAAAAGGTTCAACTTCCACTTGTGCTTTTATTTCCAGTTTTACAAGAACAGGACCCTAAAAGTAAGTGGAAAGTTGAATAGCTTAGTGCTTATCGTCTTATTCTGTCCGATCCCACATGTGTATCTGCCGTATTGTAAGAAATACTACAAATCGACCTAGTTCGAAATAGTCGGAATTAAAACAGGCTTGTCTCAAACCCTTAACTAGCATCAACACAGAAGTAATAACGCACAGCGAGCGCACGTGGAAATCGTCTTAACCAATTCGAAATTGCGCGAACGAATAAGGCACACTAAAACACGTACAACAAAATATCGTTCAAGAACAATCTCCACATCCGCCACAGTTTAAATGAAGTTCTGGGCTGCTGTAGTTGAGGCGTTCTTTGTTCTTCAACCGTTCGGATCTTCGTGTTTGCTCCGGCGGACTTTCCTGCACTTCTTCGCACGCATCGTGCTTTTCTGGAATGGACTCAGATAAAGAAGGGTTAGGTACACTCCAAGTTTCAAGTCTGTTAGCTGAGGAACACAAAAACTGATCACAGTGTCTACTGTGTACGGACCCATCAGTTAGATCAAATATTCGACACATCCGGGAACCGAGATGACTGAGGATTATTCCACGAGATGGAAGGAGATCATTTACACGGTGCTAAACATCCTAGGCAGACTCCATGCACAACAGATTCGTCCTGAGCACATTCCTCTTGCACAGCTTAGCTGGACTGTCTCCGGTAGTCGAATGTGCTGAATTCCTGTACTGCATAAGAAAGTTGGCAACTCCTTTATCACGCTCAATAAACGTTGTTGGATTAAGCGAAGTAATTGTGTTTTTCAGTGTTCACACAAAATTCTCAGTAGCACCATTGGACGATGGATGCCTTGGTGCGGTATAAAGGTGGCAGCAATCCACTCCTTTAAGCCACTCGTCAACATTTTTATCATTGAAGTGAGTTCCATTGCCTGTGACCAAAACACATGGTACTCTTTCACGACTAAAAGTCTTACCAAGAGTGGTGATAGCGAAATCTGCTGATGCAGAAGTAGGAAAACACATTTCCGGCCATTGCGAAAAGGAATCAGTTATGATCAGAGCATAGTATTTGTCCAAAAATGGACCACAGTAGTCCACATGAACTCGTTGCCACACCTCACAAGTCATGGGTCACGACGTCCAGTTAGATAGTGTGGAATGAATCATTGTTGAGCAGCCGGCGTAATCCTTTGCCGTGCGGAGTATATCGACAGTTAATTCTGGTCAGCAGCATGTTAATCGAGCGAACGATTTCATGTTTTCAACACCTATATGACCCGAATGCAAATCCGGCAACACAGCAGATCGCAAGGTAGGAGGCACAACAATGCGATCTTGGACATATAGAATTCCATCGACTGTACCAGAAAGTTCATCAAGATGCTAGTAAAAATGCGGAAATCGTCTCTTCTGGTCAGGGTTCCATCCTTTACGGATTGATGACAGAACGGCATGATAATATTTCCGTGTATCTCAAATTAGATGGGTGCGATCTGCTGGAAATGGCTACGTCAAAAGGCACTCTGAACTTTCCATTTCATTAAACGTACTGTGTCATGACAACTAATCTGCGTGTGGAATGTGTTTAACATTACCATGTTCGACGTCATACGAATATGCAGCGAGTGCAACGCTCCAGTGCTGTACCATTGCAGCAGACGATTAAGCCAAACATTGCTGAGGATGGTAAAGGAACTTCAACCCCTCTTTATCCGTTCCAGTAGTGAAGTGAATTCCAAACAAGTATTTGTGGGGGCGAGAGAGCGCCCAGTGCACTGCGAGAGCTGCTCTCATGGTTTGGGCGTATCCGCAATCCGCTGGACTAAGAGTTCTAGAGACTCATAGCACAGGATGACCATCTTGTTCTACTACTGCTCCCATACCAGTAGGTGATGCCTCGGTGATGGCAATTTTGGCGAAAAGGGTCGTAACGCAGCATCCGTTGATAGAAACCGGAGCAAAGTAGGTGACGCATGTTCATGAATGTTGATCCAAACAAGCGTGTTTACAAATTGCAATTTGAATGGAGGGTCTGGCTTTGCAGCTAAATTAAGAATAAATCTTGAATAGTATTGCAGAGAACTCATCAAAGCATGAAGTTGTTCGAAGCTTCTGTGAGTGTTGGCATTAGATAACTGACGGAAATGAGCAGGATCCGAATGAAAGCCAATTCTATCGACGAGATAGCCGGGACAAGAAAATATTAATGTACCGAACATACACTTTGAAGGATTTATGGCTGCTAAACAAAAAAGCTTACCCGAAGTGCACAGAGTCGCTCGTAGTGAAGCGCTTTTGTAGGAGCATGAACAATAACATCGTCCTTGTATACTGCAATATCTGCTAGATTCTCAGTGACGGAGTTCATAACATCATGAAAAATTGACGGTGATACTGTGAGACCAAATGGTAAAAATTGAAACGAAATAACCCGAATGGCGTGTTTATAGTTGTAAGAGCACTAGGTTGTTCGTCAAGAGGTATCTGTAAATAAGCATCCTTCAAATCGAGTTTGGGAAAACGCTTAGATTCGATCAACTGCTGGAGGACATCCTCAAATTCTGCAGTAGTACAAGATTTTTGTAATAAGCACTTGTTCAAGGTAGCCCGATATTCTCCACAAATCCTGGACGTTTTACCGCCAAGCTTGGGTGGAGTGACTATTGGAGTAGCCGGAACTAAAGTCCGTATCGATGTATTAACACCTTTACCAACCATGTCACTAAGGGACTTCCTCGCTGGCACCCGGAACACGAAAGGAATTGTTCCTCTTTTAATGAACACGGGAGTGCCTTGGATGTCAAAATTAATGGGTTCGATGCGCATGCAACCTGAGGTTTTAGAGCATTGTACAATAAGAGAGCGAAGTTTGGAATGAAGTGAATCAGAAAATAGTGCTAACGAAATGTTCAGAGTTTTCATAGATTTAAGGCCTATAATGGAATTTGACAGAACCCAGAAAAATGTACGCACTTGACTGGACTAGAAGTGACTTCTAACAGAAATAATTCACATGAGCCAAGAATACACAATAAATGATCAGTTATCCCTTTAACAGAAAGAGCTGTTGGTCTCAATGGAACTTTCGGAGCTAAGCTTTCAAAATACGAACTCGGAATAAAAGACTCAATACTACCGGTGTCAATAATAAATGAATGCTGAGGTCTACCGTTGACAACAAATTTCTGTGTCATGTGAGAAGGTGTCACAAAAACCCGTAGCATATGCTAGTGAATGAAATGCAGATGATAGCTTTTATTCATCTGTCGCTACTTGGACTAAGCAAGCTTTCGAACTACGACATACGGACTGAAGATGACCATACGAATGACACTTGTGGTTAAGGAACTTTCATGTAAATCGCGAATGTTTATTGCCACATGACTTACGGTTGTTCCAATGTCTTCTACCAGAAAGATAACGTTCGTTACTGCTTTCCCTAGTTGTGGCTGAAATTTTGAAATTCCGCCGTTTTTCGTAGCTATGTTTAAGTTTGCTGTTGGTGTTGTATAAAAGTGGAAGTGCTTCCCTCACTGCCGCTTTCACATCCTGGTACTGTTTACAAACGGCTCTAACCAACTGAAAAGTAGGCTCAAGCAGAAGAAGTAGCTGTTGCGGCAAGTTCGGCACGTTAATTCCAGCAATCAGCTGGTCATAAAGTTGGGTCCGCAACTGATCACCAAAACTGCATCGTGCAGCTTGTGTTTGTAGTTGGAGGATGAAAGCGCGTATATCTTGAGCACATTTGCGCATAAGGGTGTGAAATTGTGCCCCTTCCGCCGCTTCGAAATTTGTTGGCTGAACATGTTTAAGCAGTAACGATCCCTGCACATAATATTGTAATGAAATTGGTGGGTCAGGAAAAGCCAAATTCTTCACTGGACTGTAAGCTTCTAGTCCAATAGTAGTAAGGAAATGCGCAGATTACTTCTCACTCTTTAAATCTTTTCTTCTAATGCGCCAGATCTTAAAACGTTCCATATAAGTCTCGATATCGTGACAGCTGGAATGAATATTTAGATTATCTAGATTACACAAATACGTGGTAAAATGTTTGTCCGCGACGCCAATTGTCGTATTGTAAGAAATAATAGAAATGGACCTTGTTCGAAGTAGTCGGGCTTGGCTCAGACCCAGAACTAGCGTCAACACGGAAGTAATAACGCACAGCGAGCGCACGTGGAAATCGTAGTAACCAATTTGAAATTGCGCGAACTAATAAGGTACACTAAAACAAGTACAAGAAAATATCGTTCAAGAACCATTACCACAATAGCTCTTTTCTATATTCCTCACTATCATCACCAAAGTCGTTTGCTCTCACTTTAGAGGCAATGCAACGCTCGCTCGAGTCTGATGTGGCAAAGGAAACGAAACCCCCTTACGAAACGCTACTCATGCAGCTGTTGGCGGGCAAACGACGTGAGGACCCGGTCGATCGCATCGAACAGGCCCAGCGAACTGGCAACATGTCCCTACTTGTCAACCAAACACAAGTGGAACAGGACGTTCAATCTCTCTATGCTGCTGCGGCAGGGTGAGTTAAATTGGCAAATATCCAATGCTGAGAAAATCGACCGTCCTTACCGCATGAACACATCTAGCAAATATCCGGGGCAGGCATAAAAGGGATACTACGAGGTTTTGTCAGAAATATTAAATCATCCTAGTCCACAAGCAATTTTGTTTGCGATACCGCGTGTATCGTCTTACTAAAGCGCAGCCTTGATGCGACTGGACTATTCGTCATACCGCGAACCGTTATTGAGGTCTCTTGGGTGGACGTCTGGATTGAGAGCGACGATGCTACCGATGCCCAACTACATTTTCTCTGTTTCCGTACTTCCTTATTCTTTCATACACAAAACTAATATGGATAACCATTTTGGCTCGTTGTATCAGCATAACTGAGGGCGAGATTGATCCGTTTTGTTGACATTATTATATTTCAAGCAAAGGCAAATAGACAAAATTTACGATGAAAACAGCATTATAATGATGGGTGCGCTTGGCATCCTGTTTCGGATTTGCTTGTCACTGTGGCCAGCCACAGGACGCCTGAGCCTACAGAGGGACCATCGGTAGCTTGCGCTGCACTACCCACAGCTCCATCCACACACCCCATATTCAGTGTAAACCCGAAGAAATAGGACCGGGAGGTATGTGGATGGGAGCCACGTTTCATCAACGGAACCGGCTCACACTACTTCACAGGCAAACACAAGCACGCTGTATTTGACAATCAAATGCACATAAGGCGGTGGCTGGACGGTAGACCGCTCCATACTGAGTGCATGGAGACACCCTTCGAGCCTAGCCCGGCCCAAAGTACTGTGCACCCCGTCCCCTTCAGCAACGACCAACTGTCTACTGGAGCCAGTATGAACGAGGCATTGGTTAATAGACAGGCAGGCACCTTGTCAATATGCACACCGAGCGCAGCCACACCGGTGATGTCAAGCGACAGCCAATCACTTGCAATGAAAATATCAAATAAAATACGTCGAATAATGCATACAGATATGCCTACAAAGCTCTTTAATAAATGAGCGTATGAAATAAATTGGTCGCCAAAATAGCCGCTATATTTTTAAGATGTCAGAAAATCTATTTTAAGAAAGTGTCACCATCTCAACAATGTTATCAAAGTTAGCTACAATTAACTTGAGCGACATGTTCAAGTTAATAGAGGATAGTTCACGTAAGCAATCATGAGACAATACAGCAAACACACCACCTGAAATAAAGAGACTCAGCATGCACGTATGCTGTCAGTAAATTGAGCGCAGCGTACCTACAAACGCTGCGCCGGTTCTGCCTACGTTCTCTGCCGGACCAGTCGTCGCTTCGGTAGTGGTCCCGAGTGGCTTAGCTCATAGCTCACTAGGCCTGCCTGACAGGAACCCGAGACCGCATGTGCTACAGCACCAAGCGTTCGATGTCGATGGAGTGCAACCCATCGGCGCCTGCCGCTTCTGCATTTGCCGCTTCTTCTCCTCATGCATGAGGTCTTTCCTCTGCATCTTGAAAACTGCCTTCGTGATCAGATCCCGTCATGCATGCCGATCAATCGCTTTCGATTCCCAAGTATATATATATATATATATATATTTACTTATTTATTTATTTATTTATAAATGCTGAAGCCGATGTTGCATTCATGATGCTTTTAACCGCAATTGGACTAAGCCAAGTTACACTTAAACAAGGTCTTCTTAAGCCGGATAAATTTCATTCCCCTTTAGATGTTTTGTTTTGTCCACCTAAATAATTTCTATAAACTTGCACACGTTGCTTACGCTAATTATGGTTATATTCGTTTTTTTATTGCGTTTGTAGCATATATTAAGCAACTATTGGACCATTTGTACTTGTCGCGAATTCATTGCTAACCAACTTACATTATATGCTAATCTAAAGAGCTATGTCGGCATAGCCGTATACTTTAATAGATATAATTATTTGATATTGTCATTTCAAGTGATTGGCTGTTGCTTGACATCACCGGTGTGGCTGAGCTTGATGTGCATATTGACAAGGTGCCTGCCTGTCTATTAACCAATACCTCGTTCATACTGGCTCCAGTAGACAGTTGGTCGTTGCTGAAGGGGACGGGGTGCATAGTATTTTGGACCGGGCTAGGCTCGAAGGGTGTCTCCATGCACTCAGTATGGAGCGGTCTACCGTCCAGCCACCGCCTTATGTGCATTTGATTGTCAAATACAGCGTGCTTGTGTTTGCCTGTGAAGTAGTGTGAGCCGGTTCCGTTGATGAAACGTGGCTCCCATCCACATACCTCCCGATCCTATTTCTTCGGGTTTACACTGAATATGGGGTGTGTGGATGGAGCTGTGGGTAGTGCAGCGCAAGCTACCGATGGTCCCTCTGTAGGCTCAGGCGTCCTGTAGCTGGCCACAGTGACAGGCAAATCCGAGACCGGTTGAAGCCAGCCCTATATATATATATATATATATATATATATATATATATCAGGTTGGTGGCATCCGGTTTCGGATTTATCTGTCACTGTGGCCAGCCACAGGACGCGGTCTTCATAGTTCAGAGTGGTGGACCGGCTAATAAGGAGTTTCGTGCAACAACGCTGAATATTTTACACTGCAATTTAATCGGTTTTATGCAGGTGACTGTGTATGATTGTGCAGTACTCCAGCACAGGTCTCACAATAAGCTTAAATATTTCGTCTTGCTTTAGCTACAACAAAAGATTTTGTGATATAGGCTTTCAATTGTCTTGTCTTTGCTATCTGATATCAGACATGCTCGGAAATGCTCAGCGATTCGGAATATTTTACTACAAGTTCTCTAACTGTAGAGGCGTATGGGATGTTTGTACCTGCTAGGGTGTTGGAGCGATCCAACATCCATACCCAAGCACTTGCAAGCTTTCAGCGGCAAATTCCATGGAACACTTTTACACCAAGAGTCCAGTGCAAATAACTCCTCAAGTCTATCGGTTGGAAATGAGTAGATGAGTATAATATCGTGCGCACAGTGGTATGGTCTTCCATATTTGATGGAACCACAGATGTTAGTTATATTCATTGGGAAGTGTAGTGGTTCAAGGACACTACCTTGGACAACACTTTTTGTAATGTTTCTTGAGGAGGAGAGTTGCTGGCCTATTTTAACCCTCTGTGTCCGATCTTCTAGGTAGGATGTAAACCAGTACAGCACTAAGTTGCTGACTCCGTAAGAGTGCTGAACGGACAATAAAGATTTATGGAATACACCACTGAAGGTTCAGTGCATGTTTAGTAAAATGACAATTAGTGCCATACCCCTATCAACCACCGATGTTACGTGGTCAAAGAATCGTATGTGACAACTTACACAGGATTGCTTCGTAAGAAAGCATTGCGTTGTGCTTTGTTTATCAGGCCTAAGCTTGGTAAGAATCGAACAAGACCATTCTTGACACCTCGCTCCAGTGTCTTTGATGCTGCCGCATTATCATTAATAGGGCGATAATTCGTCATCGCAGATCGGGAGCCATCTTTGTGTTTTAGTGCTACGATCGAGAGTTCCCACTGTGGTGGGAAACGGCAACTGTTTAGGGAGTATGTGAAGACGTTTACGATCAGCAGAGGAATGTTTCTGTCATCAAAGTTGAAGATTGCTAGAGAAAAACCATCGGGTGCTGGCTGACATGACGGTTTTATGGCGAGTACACTCCTTCGAACATCACTCAGGCGCAAGAGAACACTCGAGAGCGCTTTATCTGTCTTCCGTTTAGACGAGAATGGGACATACTGGTATCTGTATCGAATGAGACCGCGTTCAATGCTTCTCATATTTGGCTAACGTCATCAGTTGTTGAGCCATCTGCTAAGGTCAAACATTGGATTTAATGGTGTTGCTTTGGATTCCACTTGTTGGGAAGTTCCACCAAGGTTTGTACCTTTGGGGATGTGTTAGTGCTTCATCTTTTTCGGTGAGCTCCGCTTGCAGTGCTTGATGTCTTAATTTCAGTAGAGTCTCATGAATGTGCAGTAATGTTGCAAAGTTATTATGTTTGCGATATTGGGACCTGAGGTACTTCAATTTGATGGCAATTTTGCAGTATGGCTTGCCTTATAGGTGTTGTTCCACAGTGTGGGTGCTAGTAGGTTGGTACAGGGGGCACTATTGTTTATAAATTCGTTCGTGGCTAAGGTTGCATTCTGTGTTAAGAAGAATTTGTACTAAATCAGGGTACTAAGGAGATTGTCAAATATGTTCTAGTCAATGTGATGTATGCAACGAGTAGACTTGTCAGTCACACGCAGTTTGTCTGATTAAAAAAAACGTTCACAAGAGTCTTAAGGTTATCTTTCTACGCCTCACGCCTGCTAGCTTCCTCTGTCCCTCAGGATTGCATACTCCGCTCTGACACTGCTTGTTTTCGGCCACACTGAACTGCTCACCAGCAATTTTTCCTGGTCTCTAGGGCAAGGACTTTAGATTAAGCTCCAGGTCGTTAAAACAGTTGTCGCGACGTGACGATGTATCGAAGCTGAGGTTTGTTGTTTTACTTGTATTCAATGATGTTGGTTCATGCAAGAGACGAGCATTAACAGCACTTGCAGACGCAAGTTATCCCCTCCATTGCTTTTTGTCGGAATGTGTGTCAACCTCTTCATCCAGACAAAAGTATAAATCCATATATGCCCGTACATGAACGTACCGCCCGTCAATTTTCCCCTACCTAGCACGTTTTTCGTTAGACCGAAACCAAGGTACCCATAGATTAACGACGGTTTATGCTATAATGGTTTTATTCATTGTTGATTATAGATCCACTTTTTGAATTTCATGATGCATCGCTGAAGGTGTGCGTTTTACTGCTGAATATTTACCTTTATGAGTGCATAACTCACTTTCTTGAAAAGATGGTTACTGGCTATTGATTTTAATGCCTTCGGTCTGATATTGTCCACACCAGAACAGTAGCTTTTTCATCATATTTGCAGCGGTAGAGCATACGTGGCTTAATCCTAGGGGCAGACTGAACTATGCTATGAACAGGTGAGGTAACGA